GAGCTGGGAGTCACATTAATGGGAGAAGCCCTGTGTATCATTAAGCAGGCTAAGGAATCCGCCACCCAGACAACCCGCATTCAGGCACTAGCAGCCAAGCCTCCTCATCTCAATCTCGAGATGACACCACAGCAATTCAGGAAGTTCCGAATTGACTGGGATGTCTTTACCAAGATGACAAATATGCCAAACTCCCAAGCTAATATTCACCTATACAATTGTGCTGATGAGGCTGTGCAAAAACGCCATAATCAACACACACCCTGACTTCTTTACCACTGATCCAGATAATCTACTTGACATGGTAGAAGTGTTGGTCACCCAGAGGTCAAGTCCTATTGTCCATCGCCTTGCTTTTGCCTCCATGTCTCAGGATGCTGATGAGCTAATACAAAGTTACCTTGTCCGCCTCAGAGCCGTAGCCGTTGATTGTAACTTTACCTGCCCCTCGTGTGAACATGACCTGTCTGATATATACATCAAGGACCAGATCATCCGTGGAATAGCAAATGACACACCCAGGCTGACCTACTGGCCAAAGCTGGGGCACTTAAATCCCTTGGACAAAATATCCGTCATGCTGAGGCATTTGAATCAGCATTGCGGGACCAAACCTCAATGGCCAGTGCTTCAGATACAGCTGCTGCTCTGCTATCAACATACCGCAGACAGAAGGGTTCACCACAAGCCAACGAGGCGATCCGTACCAGTACCTATTGCAACTGCAATGTTAAATCAAACCACCAGGCTTGCTTAGGTTGTGGCAGCCACCAGCATGGCTCCTCAGGAACTGAATCACGCCGGCTAAAATGCCCAGCGTGGGGGACAAACATGTAGTAATTGTGGGAAGCCCAATCACTTATCGAGGGTATGCCGGGCTAAGAAACCAGCTCAAGCGGTCAGGAAAAGCCTAGAGGCTAATGAAGCCGCCATGGACACACTTATCGCCCACATCACATTCAATCAAACGACAGGCACGTATACATCTAAAGACACAGGTCAGATAAGGGAAATTGATGCATATGTTGTTCCATTTTCGCCAAAACCGGATCCCAGACAAATTAAGAATATCCCCAGAAATCACAGCACTAGGATGACAATCTTTCCTGACAGTGGGGCCACCATATGTCTCGGGGGACTTAAGCACCTTCTGAATATGGGGCTCACTATCAACAACCTCATTCCATCAAGAAAAGTCGTCCGAGCTGTGGGAGGCTTTACGCTTGTATGTCAGGGTTGGCTCCCCGTGGAATTCATCGTCCAAGGAAGAACAACTAAACAAGCCCTATACATATGCAAAAAGATTCAGCGGCTATACTTCAGCAAAGCAGCCTGCATTGATGTAGGGATACTGTCCAAAGACTTCCTGAAGCCGACAACTACAATATCACCCCAAACAACAATGCAACACATGCCCTCGACAAGCACACATAAAAAATCGGACGTAAGCCCTAAACAATGCAAAGTCGAGGGACAACTTCCAACACGCCCCAAAAAACTCCTTTTCTTCCAACAGAACAAAACATTGATAGGCTCAAGAATTGGCTATTGAATCAATTTGCCGAAACGGCGTTCAAGAACAATGGTGAATTTCCACCGATGTCTGGCCCCACTGCACATATACACCTCAAAGAAGGAGCAGTCCCCAAAGCCAGACATAACCCAATTCCTGTGCCTTTTCACTTCAAAGAGCCCGTAAAACAGGCCCTTTGGGAAGATGTGAAAAGGGGTATCATAACCCCAGTACCCGTTGGCATGCCCACTGATTGGTGTAGCACTATGGTAATTACCGCCAAAAAAAAATGGCAAACCACGAAGAACCATAGACTACCAACACCTGAATTCACAGTGCAAACGGGAAAACACACCATACAGGGTCACCATTCCAGCTAGCACTACAAGTGCCACCTAAAAAAAAAAGAAAACAGTGTTGGATGCTGTTGATGGATATCATTCCATCCCCTTAGATAAAGAGTCCCAGCCACTCACCACCTTCATCACAGAATGGGGAAGGTTCATGTACCTGAGGATGCCACAAGGTTACCTAGCATCTGGCGATGCCACCACCCGAAGGTATGATGAAGTAATAAAAGACATCCCCGCAAAGTAAAAAAATCGTGGATGACACCCTACTCTATGACTCTGACATCGAAGGAGCCTTTTTTCACACCTTCGATTTTCTCCTCCATTGTGCAAAAACGGCATCGTAATAAATAGAGAAAAATTCCAATTTTGCCAAGACACGGTGCAGTTTGGGGGCCTCAAATAACATCTTCTGGTGTAACCCCTTCTAAATCCATGCTGGAGGCAATATTGAGCTTCCCAATACCAAAAACACTCACCGATGCCAGATCATGGTTTGGGCTGGTCAACCAAGTCGTTTGGGCATACTCACTAAGCCCAGTCATGCTTCCATTTCGTGATCTCGTAAAACGAGACTCACACTTTACATGGAATAAAAGCCTTGAGGATGCATTCCAGCAGTCAAAGAAGGTCATAGTTGACTTAGTCCGAAAAGGCATCGCAACATTTCAAAAAAGAAAGAATAACCTGCCTTGCCCCAGATTGGAGCAAAGACGGAATGGGCTTCCTACTTCTGCAGAAGTATTGCTCATGCACCACTGACAAAGCCCCAGTTTGCTGCCCTGAAGGTTGGCGCCTGATATTTGCTGGTAGCAGATTCTGCATTGATGCTGAACGCAGATATGCACCTATTGAAGGCGAAGCAGCAGCAATTGCATGGGCATTGGAAAAATGTCGGATTTTTGTAATGGGTTGCCTGAATCTCATAGTGGTTACAGATCATGAACCACTAAAAAGGATTATTCGGAGATAGAGACCTTAGTAAAATCAAAACCCCGATTATTCAGGTTAAAGGAGAAAACCCTCAGGTACAGATTCACCATTCAGCACTGCCCTGGGAAATGGCACAGAGCCTCCGATGCTGTCTCTCGTAACCCAGCAGACATCTCACAGGCACTCCTAAATGTATTCACTGCTGAACCCTCTCAATCAGACATCATAGAGTCTGACAACATGGATGACTGGGTCAAATCAAAAACCTTATTAGCAACATTCGGTGCAAATGACAACCTGGAGCTCATCTCACCAGACGTTATCCGTACGGCGGGACGCAGCGACCCGCAATACAAAAAATTAATTGAAGTAATACAAAACGGATTCCAAAGAACGCGCATCCTCACTGCACCTGAAATCCGCGAATATTGGGAAGTGAGGCACCGCCTAAGTGTTGACGACGGGTTAGTGCTCTTAGATCAAAGAAGAATTATCCCCACCTCACAACGCGCAAAAATATTACATAGCCTACATTCTGCACATCAAGGCGAAGTTGGCATGAAGGCACGTGCCAATGAATCTGTCTATTGGCCCGGGATGAATGCTTCAATTCGTAACATTAGAGCAGGTTGTACGTTCTGCTCAAAAAATTGCCCCTGAGTCAACCAAAAAGAGCCAATCAATTTGACACCATCTCCTGATTGGCCATTTCAGCAAATCGTCATGGACATCTTCCATGTTGGAAACCATGGTTACTTAGCATGCGCTGACAGGTTAACGGGCTGGCTGAATCTATACCACTTGAGCCACGGAGAAGCTAATGCCTCAAGGATTATTTCGATTTGCCGAGACATATTTCAAACCTACGGGGCTCCTGAGGAACTCAGCAGTGATGGTGGGCCACCCTTCACATCTCTTCCATTCAAGCAATTTTTTGCAAGACTGGGCTGTTAAACAAAGGTTATCATCTGCTGGTTACCCACAATCCAATGGTCGAGCAGAGCTCGCTGTCAAAACAGCCAAAAGAATCATAAATGGCAACACAGGAGCCCAAGGATCGTTGGATAATAACCGTGCAGCAAGAGCCATCCTCCAATACAGGAATACGCCTATTCAAAACATTGGGCTATCCCTGCTCAACTACTACTCCACCGCCGACTACGTGACTACATACCATCCCACCCCACACTCTATAAGCCACACGCGAAGTGGATAACCGCAGCCCAAAATCGTGAGATAAGTCTGTCCCGGCGGAACGCACGTCTCATAGAGAGATACAACAGAACAGCACACACTTTAAACCCCCTTCAAAAGGACAAATAGTGGCACTACAAGACCAACAACCCGTCGATGGGACACAACAGGTCAGGTCATTGAAATCCTCCCCAACCACCAATACCGTATCAGAGTTGACGGATCAGGTAGAATTACCTTACGAAATCGCCGATTTCTCAGGAAACTGGATACACCAACAATTCCAGTTCCAAGACCCTAGTGCCTTACCTGAGATCCCTACACCATTGCCACAAACATTCGACGCTGGAATACCATCAAACACTGCTCAGCCGTCTACAATAACACGGACAAAAACCCCCGGGCATTGTCCAGACTACTTCCACACAACCAGCCAGGTTTGAAGGAACAAATCCCTCCCCAAAGGCCACTACCAACACGCGATGGGGGGAAGGAGATGTAGAATAACAATACAATAAACGACACTTACCGGCGTAAGAGTTCCAGCTAGCGTCCAGCTGGCAGACAAAAATAAAGCAGGTTGTAACTTAATACAAACCCCGCAAACTAACTGAAATTAAGCTGGTATTTATATAGAAATACTTCCACTCAGGTACCAGCAGCCAATCAAAGCCCAAGCAATGGACTATCCCACTTTAGCATAATGAGATGCTCCATTGCACCATAAATAACTCTCTTCCTCAATGTTGAATCAGTCTTCACTCAGCTTGCTCCACAACTGAGTGTTTATATTGACCACGTATTGTTCGACAGCAGGAATTTTTTTCTCCTGATGATGGCCATGCTAGCCGAAACTAGTCAAGGAATCTAATTGAAATAATAAAACAAAAAATATTAATATACAACCCCGTGCGTCTGAAAATTTTAACTTTTTAAATTCTTTTTATGATTAAGATCATATATATATATATATATATATATATATATATATATGTCTGTGGAAATATATTTTAAAGAAATATTTTCTGGCTAAAAGATATCGAGGCGCGAAACGATCGGTAAAAAAAAGTAAGAGGTGAGAATGATTCGACATCAAATGTGAGAGCAAAGAATAGAAAAGAAGTTATAAAAAGTACACTGGCGACGTAGCAAAGAACAAATGATTTTGAAAATGAATGCTTAGCATTCGTCTAAAAACACATTAGACATGAAAGGTTTTATTTACCAATACCAGCCGGAAATGTAAAAAAAAACAAAACAACAAAAAAAAAAAAAACAATTCGTTGCTTTTTGATTAAACAGATTGATTGAGTCAGTGATGTGTTTCTTTTGCAGCTTATATGAAGTCAGCAAATAATAACTTTAGATTGTAAGAATTCTATTGGAATAATAATGATTTGCTAATATATGTCTTACTAATTAACCCATAGCTGGGGGAGAAAAAGTGGATTCGTACGTTTTCCAATAGTATTTTAGGGTAAGTGAATATAATCTAGTTGGGATCCGTTATACTATCTTGCTCAGGAAACCCTACTGCTAATGCGGCTGCTGTACGCGTGATGCCCCTACGACCTTAACGGGCTTTGGGCCTTATGATCGTGTTCGTAATCTAGTGAATATAACGAACTTGACTGGAATTGTAACTTGACTCGCTAATTTGCAATTACCCCACCCATTACCCCACACGCCCACCTAAGCTTACAGCACACATGTCTAGGTAATGACCAAGCATGACGTTGCTTAATTTCGGTGTTTTAAAGCAGTATGTCCGTAAGCCTTTTCATGGTAAATTCATATACGCGTTCCAGCCGCCTGAAAATTGCGTAAACGTGAAACACGTGTAACGGCTCCGGTCGTCCTTTGACAGGAATTAATGTTGTGAAACTTTTTTTTTTTTTGCTCTGTCTGTTATGTTTTATTGATCTTCATAATTAGGGTGTTAGGTGTTTTGGCAAATTTATTTTTGTTTGTTTCACCAGTGGAGTCGGTTTTCGTTTAATATATACCGGAAGTAACAGCAAAAGTGTCAAAATCGTGTCATTCAAAAAAATGTTCAATATCTAAATAAAACAAAAAAAAAACAAAACAAAAAGGCACTAAACTTATTCCGTTTTTTTTTTCACCAGGTTTTCACATAACGTTTATCCAACTTGACACCCTTTCTCGTAAGAAACATTAAAAAATATTTTGAGTTATTCTGTTAGAAAAGAACAGGTTAAAATCGTTTTGTCCCAGACCCAAATCAGAGTCCAATAATTTTATAAAAACCTACAGGAATTCCAGTTCACCAAGGCTCTATCCTTGACCCTAATCTGTTCCTTATCTTCGTTAACGATCATGGAACCCGAAAAGTAACTTTATTAAAAAAAAAAAGAAAGAATAGAATAGAAAAGAAAGGAAGAAAGAAGTTTAGCCATGAAAGAATTCCTTCCTCAATTCGGTGACATAAAACGACAATACAACTTTCTGATAACAAATATCTTATTACTAAAAAATATATATCATGGCTTCGACTTAATACAATCATTCCTGTCGCACCGTACATTGAAGGTCGTTCTCAACGGATTCTCCTCCAGCTCCTATCCCACGAACGAAAGTGTTCCCCAAGGATCTATCCTAGACCTTACTCTGGTTCCTTATCTTCATTAACGATCTTCCTGACATCATAGGTTCCTAAATAGGCGGACGACACTACGATTTACCTCTGCCTCAAAAACAACTCTAGTGTCGCTGACAAAACTAACCTGATCGTTTGTCTCGAAAAGGACTTCCAATCGGTTGTGGACTGGGGCAGGAATTGGCTGGTTAACTTTAACGCCTCAAAAAAAAAAAAACTGCTCTCTATTACTCACCACAGAGAACCATCCCTGCCTCTCCATTAGAATGTCTGACGCTCAACTACACGAGAGCACCTCTTTGCGACTCCTCGGTCTCACATTGTCTGCTGACCTGAGATGGAACAAATACATTGAATCAATAGTTTCGTCCACCCTAAGAAAAGTTGGCTCCCTGTGCAGCACCAGGAAATTATTCTCGTCGGAGTCGATCCTTCAAATCTACAAATCAACCATTCGCCCTTGCATGGAGTATTGCTGCCATATATGGTCTGGTGACCCTTCTGTTTGTCTCAAGGTTCTTGATAAAATCCAGAGACGGATATGCAAAGTAATTGGCCCTGATCTGGCATCTTGTCTGCAATTGCTCTCTCACAGACGTACTGTCGCCTCCCTCTGTCTTTTTTACAAATACTTTCACTTAACTGCTCCGATGAGCTGCTTTCGCTGGTTCCCAGACTTCATGAATTTAAGCGTTCAACTAGACTGGCATCTCGCTCTCACCCTTTCACTGTTGAAACTGTTAAATGTAGCCATATCTTCTACTCCAATAGCTTCGTGTCTCGCACCTCTCGCCTGTGGGACCCCACCTTCTTGTTTTCCTGATAGCTATAATCTCCAACTATTCAAATGTAATGTCAATCGACATCTCCAGTTGCCTTGATCTATCCTTCTCCTCATCCTTTCCTCTATCACTCCTATTTGCTCTCTCTCCAAATCCTATGTAACCCCTTAAGAGCTAGTGGCTTCTCGCCTTACTTGGGGTGAAACGCAGTAAAAAGAAGTTAGATATCTTTAATCAGTTCTAAGATACAATGGTTCAGAGCTTAATCTAACAAACAATTTTGCTGTTACACGCATTCAGCGTGGGGAAGAGGTAAGAAACATAATAAAGAAAAGGTTAAAATCGTTTTTCAGACCCACTGCCTTCCCAAATGAACAATGGTGAGAGGAAAAAGATCATCCAGGCCTTCAGTAATGGCACCAAAATTCAAATTCTGGCTTCCAACTTCAAAGTCCATCCAAAGGCCATCACAGAATGGTAAATAAGTTTTGAAAAGAGCGAACAGTAGAGTAAAAAAGTGGATCAGAAGGTCACAACAGGAAGTGGGATCATCATTTCAACTTAGAACTAAAAAGATCAATTAGAAAAGATCCAAGACAATCCATAAGACTTTTGGCACGTGAGAGAAGAGTTTTACCTGTGACAGTCAAAATAGCAGTGAAAAAAGTCCTGAAAATGAATTCGTATGTGAAACATGTGAGGCAACTTGCTAATTCAGGATAGAAAGCTAGGAAGTTAGAGAGGGCGAACATCATCATCTATAAGTTGCAATATATATATATATATATATATATATATATTTGAACATTATTACAATCTTTCATGAGCTTACGATACTTAGCTATGATTAATTAATGTTGAACATGACATTTTCGTTCATGGTCGATTTCATCACGATTGTTCTCTTCAGCTTACAGAGGAATTATCCATTGTTATTGCTCAAAGTAGGTTCCAATAGTGTTATAAAAGCTTCGGAAAATTGCAGTAATATATCATTAATCACTTCTAAGATACAACAATTTTTCTGTTACACACGGTATATATATACCTGGCGTGACAGAAAATTATACAAATCGTGTAACAACATGCAAAATGTTTAATTTCTAAAAAAAAAACACTAAAATTTTTTCCGGGTTTTCAGATAAGACGTTTAGCCATCTTGGCACGAGAATCACTGAAAAACCCATTGAGATATTCAACTAAAAATGGAACAGGTTAAAATCCCTTTTTGTCAGACCCAAAGTAGAGTCCAATATAAAAACCTATCAGAATTCCAGTAAGATATCTTTAATCATTTCTAACATACAATGGTCCAATTCTTAACAATAATAAAAAATGTTCTCATATATTTAACGATAATTATATAGTTTTATTCTTTTCTTATTTATTGATTAATTTCCATTATTATCATTAAATTAATAATAAGTCAAAGTGTTATATTCGATAACGAACTGTTCACTCGGATATCCAGTGTGAAACATATATGGTCGTTTCTTGCCATAATAGAGGTCTTGTTCTAGTGATCCCAAGAGCGAAGCCGTCTGGTGTTCCAATTTCTGTATTGCCTCCCTGATCGGTAAAGTTGAAAAGACATCCGACTGACGATGTAACCAGGTTTACCTGATCTCACGGAGAGAAGAGCTTCTGGTCAAGTGTGTGGGCTTCTCTGTCGCGCAGAGTTATCCACCAAAATTAAATTCTCCCGAATGACCACGCCAAATTCTCTTTGATTCGCAGCCATCTCCGCCAGAGCCACCAGCGGAGAGACAGGGAATGCATAACCTACCAAGAGAGCTTCAGTGAATGGATGGCGGGGAATGTTTTAGGAAAAATATCAAAAAAGACGAAATTTATTAAGAGCTACGAAGAACTAGACATTATGGAGAGCCATGATCGCCTGAAGGTAACCGGTCCATAGAAGAAGAAAAACTAGCTGGAGTAAATGGCTGGCGGAACAAGATTTAGGAGAAATAACAAAAAGACAAAATTTATTACTATCTTCAAAGGACAGAAAATTGTGGAGAGCCATGATCGCTTATCTCCTGAAGGGACACGACACTTAGAAGAAGAAAAACAAGCTTGAGTAAATGAATGATGGAACAAGATTTAGGAGAAATAATAAAAGATATATTTCTTACGATCTACAAATGACAAGGAAATTGTGGAGAGCCATAATCGTGTATGTCCTGAACGGACATGACACGTAGAAGAAGAAAAACAAGCTGGATTAAATGGATGGCGGAAAAAATTTAGTAGAAATAATAAAAAGACATATTTCTTACGATCTACAAAGGACAGGAAATTGTGGAGAGCCATGATCGCTAATCTCCTGAAGGGACACGACACTTAGAAGAAGAAAAACATGCTTGAGTAAATGGATGGTGGAACAAGATTTAGGAGAAATAATAAAAGATATATTTCTTACGATCTACAAATGACAAGGAAATTGTGGAGAGCCATGATCGTCAATGTCTTGAAGGGACACGGTCCATAGAAGAAAAAACAAACAAACATTAGTATATGGATGGCAGGAAAAGATTTAGGAGAAATAACAAAAATGAACAATTATTAATAGCTACGAAGGACTGGACATTGTGGAGAACCATGATCG